GTAATCGAAGGTGTGCACAGACAGGAGCCATACACTTCGTAAAAACCCGTGGTGCAGTGGCTAATCCAAACAGTAGCACATTGAATTCGTAGATTTCAGAGTCCACCGCAAAATGAAGGAAACGCCTAAAACTTGGATGTATTGAAATATGAAAATAGGCATCCTTCAGATCCAATCAGGTGAACCAATCCCCTCTTCCCAGCAACGGGAGAATACTTTGAAGTGTGGTCATCCGAAACTTCTTTGGTGTTATGAATCTATTGAGAGCTCTCAAGTCCAATATTGGTCTGAGACCCCCATCTCGTTTCGGGACCGTAAAGTATCTGGAATAGAACCCATGGAATCCCTCTGATAACGACAGGCGACGAATAGCTCCTTTAGCAAGGAGTTGGTGAATCTCGTGTAACAGTACCAAGGAAGTCGAAGTACAGCAGATAGGATTCGGTGATGGCACAACGTCGAATTCGATTCCATATCCGTGCTGAATGATAGATAACACCCACCCATCAGATGTGATGGACTCCCAAATGGAAAGCCGACTCTTCAGTCGATCCCCAAATGAGAGGGGGGAGGGTAGAGTTGGAATGAGAGGAGAGGTTCGCTCATCGCATCAGCGCTGTCGCCTGTCCGTATCAAAGCGGCAGCGGCCCTGTTGGAAGCGCTGGGGTGGTTGTTGCCTGCGACGCTGCTGACGTTGATGCGGTTGCTGTTGCCAAGGCGGAAATTGTTGACGGTACTGTGGACATGACCATGACCACTTACGTCGGGGTAGAGATTGCAATTCCATACGATGGGCCGTCATCCTTGATTCATGGATTTTCTTCAATTTGCTATCCGTCCTTGCATGGAAGAGACCGGAACCGTCGAACGGCATCTCTTCAATTCTCCACTTCATCTCGTCTGGAAAATTGCAATTACGCAACCAGGCTTGTCTGCGGAGGGAAATGGCACCGACCAGCAACCTCGAATCAGAGTCCACGTGGTGCCTCGCGGTGGAAAGCTGTTGCACCGCCACTTGCACAGCTTCCTTAACAAAATTCTTAGCAAGTTTGCCCTGGTTTCCCGGGAGGATATCGATAATGGCATCCAGGCGTTGCATAAGGAAATAGTGGTAACGCGCCAGGGTTGCCTCATAATTAGAAATTCGTAAACCAAGGCCCAAAGCTGCATATACCTGGCGGGCGAGGAAATCAACCTTTCTGCCCTCTTTGTCATGAGGCGAGGTGTGTCCACGGGCTTCCCGACCCTGCGAGGATTCTACAACAACCGAATTCGGCTTGGGGTGACGGAGAAGAAACGGGATGTCCTCTTCCCACACCCGATACATGGACTCATATTTACAAGAAGTCGGTTGTGGATGAGCTGGGAGGTCCCATGGCTGGGTCACTGCCTGCCATAAGGTCGTAATAAACGGCAAGGCAATAGATGTGGATCGTTCGCCCCTGACCACATCATAAAAACGATCGGTGCTCGGTCCCGGCTGTTGGTGAGCTTCTATATCGAGCGATCTCACTAGTCTGGCCATCAGATCGTTAAACGATATATACGGTTCCTCGGGCGACCCCAGACCCTGAGAAGCAACCGCTGCATCTGGCAAGGTCGAGTGAGCCTCAGACTCGTCGGAGTCCATCCAGTAGGGGGGTGGTACACTGGAGGAAGAATCTCCTGGTGACTCTGATCTGCCACTTTCTTTAGATAGGGCCCTTGGGGCATCTCTAGGCATTGAATGGAAACGTTCCCGAGGTGCTGGTGGCAAAGATTGTCCCCTGAAGGTCGGATAATAGGCTATGGAGTGGTACTCTTCCTGTCTCGGAGCGGAGGAGTACCTGGAGTGGTACCAATCATCAGACCTCGCATCCGAGGAACGGCTCCTACGGCTTCTCGGAGGGGAGATGGCGATCTCAGTACCCATCAGGATTGGAGGCATCGGGGTTGGTGATCGAGCTCTAAGTGGAGAATCTCATTATTTCCCCATCAGAGATGGAACCACGCCTTGAATCCAGAATGGGTTTGGCTGTCGGTCGGTGTGGTGAGCCCGGTGGGGTAACCCTCATAGACACCTGGATGGTCGGGACTGAGAGGGTCAGTTCCGAAGCAGGGATCGGAATCGAGGAAGAGGCTGAGCCTGAGTGGTGGTGTTTTGCCTGCTCGGGGTTCTTCGGCTTCTTAACCGGCTTGCCCGTCTTATCTTTCTTGGCCTTCTTATGCACAGGATATTTATCTGAGTCGCTGTGCTTTTTTTCCTTTTGTTTCCTCGGCAGGGAAACAGACTGGTCGGCCATGGTATGAGTGCCTTCTTCAGAAGGGCGTGAGGGCGGAGCAATGGAGGAAGAGGACGGGCGTTGCGGCAGGTCAGCCGAAGTTGGACGGCCTTTGGGTGGGGCTACAACAGTGGAAAGCTTAGCCACCAGCCGGTCTGATTGGAGGAGAGCCTGGTCCCATAAGAGTTTGTGGAGGCGGTTCTCCCTGTTCTTCCTCGCCTGTTTAGAGAAGGCCAAACAATGGCCGTACTTATCGGTTCTGTGCCCTTCCCCCAAACAAAGGAGGCACAGATCATGCGGGTCCACGGCGGGCATTTTGGAGCCGCATTTTCCGCACTTGCGGAACGCCGTTCGTTGCACCATCGTAGAAAGAAGAAAAAAGGAGATAGTAAAGCGGGAAAGTAATATTTTTGGGTTGGGTTTTTTTTTTTTTTTTATAGGAACGATAAAGAGGAAAAATGGTGCAAAGTTAAGAAGAAATATAAGTGAAGTACTAACAACAAGAACAAGGGATACAAACTTGGTAGGAAAAAGGAGAGATTTTCAAACGAGCAAGAAGATAAGTAATAATCTTAGCGAGAGCGAAGCGGCACAAGGCACAATGAATGGCGGTTGCAAAGACTGGAAAATGGCGGACACTCCGCTCCTTATATAATGCTAGTGGGGAGGGGGAGCGGAGTTCCCGCCAAAAACCGTTAGCTGTTAATCTTCTGGCCAAAGGCACTGCGCAGGCACAGAACCCATATGTGTGATGCACAGAGGCCATGACGAAGAATGTTACTTAATTACATTAGGCTTCCACCAGATATCTGGCACTTCACCCATCATCCATGATTTCCCAAGGATAACAGACTGAAAGTTCTTCTGCCAGTTCCTTTTATTGTTCTGGGATGTATCCGGTCCTGGAGACTTGAACTTGTACAAAGTAATTAAATATTCCTTGACCATTCGCCTATCAGTCAACAAGCTACAACCCTGCCCTTTCAGCCTGTACTCCACCTTTGTCAGGAGGAGTCATAGAGTCTCTTTTGGGAGAAGATTGAGCCAAAGTAGGAATTCAGCACTTCTGCCCTTTCTTTGTCAACTGGTATTATTTTGCCACCCTCCCTTTGTAGTTGAACCACCATTTCTTTCTTCTCTCTTTTACTATGCACATATCTGAAGAAGGCTTTTTTGCTGCATAAAGCAACCTTCACTAATCTCTGCTCGTTTTCAGCTTAAGCCTTCTTGACGTCGTTCCTGCAAGCCTGTGCTACCTGCCACCTGCTATTTATTTATTTATTTGTTTATTTAGTAAACTTATATTCCGCCCCATTCGCCAAAGCCTTGGGATGGCTTACAACCATAAATAAATATCAATGATACAATTAAATATAAAATTGGAGACATCCTGGCCAAAGTTATTAAAATCAATAATATTTTATGTTTGTATTCTTCCTTTGTAGCCTGACTTTCCTTTCACTTCCTGTACCTCCCTTTTTTATTTTCAGGTCATCTTTAAGCTTTTTGTGAAGCCACATTAGCTTCTTCTGCTGTCACCTACCCTTCTTCTTGTTGGAACTGTAATTGTGTCTTTAGGATTTCTGTTTTTCAAAATTCCCATCTATCTTGGATTCCTTTTCTCATTAGAGTTGCTTGGCATGGGACCTTACATAATATTGTTCAGAGTGTATTAACATTTTCTAAAATCAGGGTACAAGATTGGCTACATTCAGCTTCTGTAACTCCCCTGCATGAGGGCTGCAAATCTTCAGCCAATACCAGGCACTACAGCAGCAAGTCACTGGGTCATGCTAAATCATTTGTGAATCACTGCATGAGTCACTAGACAAAATAATTAATCCATGGAAATATCATTTTCCAAAGAAGAGAGTATATTATCGAAATTATCAGTTTGGCTTATTTAAAAAGTCATCCCACATATGCCTATACTTTTTAGAAAATCAGGGTTTATATTAGAAAACTACCAGAAAAGAACACAACATGGAATCTGAATATCTTAAATCTTACAGGCATTTTAAGGAAGGGGATTATAGCAGCAACTCAGAAACCCTACCAGTCTTTTCTACTTCCCTGCATTATCTATTTTTGTTGTTACTGATCACTTCAATCCCATGACATAAAGTATTTTCTTGACGTAGTGTATCTGCTATGACTGATCACGTAAGAGTTTCTCAACAACAGGCTGGATTAAATGCAGCACAATGTTGTCTAGATGTTAAAACTATGGCAATAGACTCAGTCTTGTACCATTTTTCCCCTCAGCTTTCCCTCAATTCCATTGACCCTTCCCATATGCACAGAGATGTGCATACAGTACCACATGCTTGCATTTCAACACACAACTGGACTGTGAAATATTTAGGAAAAAATGAAAAAATAATAGGCTAGGGTACAGTGATGGTGCTACACTAATGGCACTGCACTAGCACTGATTTACACTAGTGCGATTTCATTAGTGTTAGTGCTGCAACACCACTGGATTCTGTTCTTAAATTCTCCAGGGACCTCTTTTATTCACAAATGACAAGTCTTGCAATAATACATTCCAAAATCAAACATGTCACCCACAGAGAATGAAAAAAGTAAACTGCACATGAATAAATGAACTGTCAAACTTATGAGGCCCATCACAAAATTACTACTGGAATGTCTTTCAGAGATGAGTTTAGGCATGCATCATTCACAGCTACAGATCTGCAATATCCACAGGGGCAGACAGTAAAAGAAATTCCTCACCTTGATTCGGCTTACAGCTTCTTGAGCCTGCATCATTCTCACATTCTTGGATGGAGTTTTGTCTGAAAGAAGCTGAGTAGAGCCAAGGTAATTGGCAGCAAATATGATTCCATCGATTAAATCTTCAGGATCACAGGGCCCAGGAACTGCAGTACAGAAAAACTGAATTATTGAGCAAAATTATGTTACTAATGGGAAAGAGAAAGAATATACCACTACTGGTGCCAGTATGTGGAGGCTGCAATTGCAGCTTTGGAGTAGCTGAAATTCATCATGATCACAAAAGATCAGATACAATTAGAGGAGACAAAGAAGGACCAGCCTCTCTGCTGCAGAGACTGCCAGGGACTGCACTTGGTAATCCAATCTGACTTCGACATTTGCTTGTTCTGTTAAGACAAAAGTTCACCCTGAAGCAAAATAACCTGAATGGATTTTTTCTTTCCTTTTCAGAAAGGCACAAAGCATTTATATGTCTCCGAGTTAGTTGTGCCTTTCACTCTTTGATTGTGTTTAACTAATATCAACAGCTTAAAAACAAGGGAGATGCAGGCTGGCATAATCAATGCAACAAGGACATTATGGAAATTAAATAAATCTCCATATATTAGCTTACTCTTTACAGTGTATTTTGGTTCCAAGATTCATTTTAATTAGTGGCTGGTGAGGAGAGAAAAGGAAGATAGGATAAATTGTGGAGCAGTGGTAAATTCTGAAGTGTAGCCAATCATTACGGCAGTCCCCAGAGACACAGCCCCAAGGAGATGGAAAGTGCAGGTTGCTGTATTGATTATACCTATCTATCCATCCGAGTATGTATTATCCATGTGCACATATATGCACACCTGCCTACAGAAGCAGAAGCAGTCCTTAGCACAATACTCAATTTATTAGGATCAGCTAATAGTAATAGAGGAGCAAGCTGATAAAGCACAGTGCAATGGTTAGCATGCTGGACTGTGGCTGACAAGACCTGAGACTGTGTAAGAAATGGAAACAACTTGACACTAAAGAATACAGAATCACTAGCTCAAGAATATCCAGGAGTGTCTTTCCAAGACATCAAGGAGAAAATCATTTCCCCTGTGAGGATTGCAGCTAAGCTTAGAGGAAGCAGAATGGCAGGTGATGTCATCCCTGCGACGGGGTTGGGGGGAGTCCCTGCACTTTGCCTCTATGAGCCCTGGCTTTTTTACATCACTACTGTGGAGGTTTAGGTGCTTGGCAAGGGGCAAGGAGGGGAAAGGATTCAGTTCTAAGCATCCTCGGGAAACTAATGTTTCCTTCCTCCAACCCTGCTCATGGTCCCAAGCGCCTCCCTTCAGCAATGAAGACTATGCACTGAAATTGGGGTAATCTGCAGTGCTCTGCCAAGTATCAGATTTGCTATTGCCAGGTAAGCCCACAGGTGAGGCTAGCAGCATGAACTCAACCTCAGCACCACCCCCTGCAAAATACCAACTGCTGTATTTGATTCACAGATCCCAAACAGCATTAACCATAACCCATGAAGTTATTAATCATCCTTAAATTTATTCAACCTCTTTGACCTAAAAGGCTAGGACAATTTTCTAAATTTATTCAGCAGGTGATTTTTTTAAAAAAATAAATGGTGCATTAACTGGCTTGCTGCAGTTTTAACACAAAGGGAAAAGAATACTTATGCAGTCTACTTATTTCTCTTTAGAGAGGGAAAATTTCAGCTCAGCCAGAAAAAGAGTCTGAAAGAATAAATTATGCCAGTTAACATAGTGCATAACTTAACTTGCAGAGTAGTGTGATTTCATTTCCTTTTGTTAAACTAAACATTTTGTGTCTGTTGACCATCATGGGAGTGGAAGGGGGTGCTGATAAAAAGATGCTATTATGCTCAAAAAGATGCTATTATAATCAGGTTCCAAATAAAACATATGCATGCACGAGAAAAAAAACTTCATATGTTATTACAGTTTGACTTCCACTTTCCACTACAGGTGTTCAGTTGTAACAATAGCTTGTTTTTTCAGCAGTGGGGACTGTAGTTGTGAAAGCAGAAAACAAACTCTAGCTGCTCCCCTCATTCCCTCCTCTGCATGAATAACTTTTGTTTGAGTATTAGCCTTTTCATTAATAGTAAACTGGTCTGATAATCCTAAATATAATGCAACTTCCCTCTTGGAGAATATATTTACAAAGATGATTTTATAAACTTAAAGAGCAAGTTCAGGGAACTCATTGCATAAAATGCCTAGAGAGTTTTGGCTATTGGGCAGTACAGAAATAGTAGTAATAGTAGTAGTAATAATGCTAAGGCAAATTTTGTATTCAAGTCATCTGAAAGATAGAATTCAAATGTGAAAATCTACCTACTGTTAATATGTTTATATTTTAAATCTTGGCAGCTTTTGTGCAGATCATAAAGAACACATTAATTTTGTCAGATAAAAGTTCCTAAGAAAAAAAAGGCCAATATGATTGAGTATAACGAATAAAAGACAGGGTAGCTCTTCTTTGATACAAGAAAAATTGGGACAAAATGAAATAGTTACTTAAAATTAAAAAATAGCTTAATCTCCTTAAAATTAAATGTAACTTAAAATTAGCATTCATGATGAATGGTTACAACATTAGAACCAAACTATAAGCCACTCCTGCCTGCATACACACAATTAAGGTTACAATCCTCTGCATATTCAGATAGAAAAAAGGCCTACAACTTTTAGCATGGCTGACCATGCTATATGGCTCCCCCCCTCAAAGGTACATAGGATTGTACCTTAGTCCCATACCCAGGATTGCACCACAATAGTCCAATCTTATGCAGCTTTTCACAGATGCAACTCCCACTGAGTTGAATGGGATGTACTCTCTACTAAGAAAATATGGGACCATGATGTAAGCCCATTCATACTTGGCTTATGAAGCTGTGAATCCTAGCAGAAGTCGGAGTTTTATGGTGAGCCACCAGAACTTTCCGAAGAATGTTCTGAACAGGAGATAGCAAGGTATAGAGCAGCCGTCCCTGATTTGCTGCCCTCCCAATGTTTTGGCTTACGACTCTCATTATCCCTTACCACTGGCCATGCTGGCACGAACTGTTGAGAGTTGTAGTCTAAAACATATAGGGGCACTACACTGAGGAAAGCTGTATTAGAGCATGGGGCCTAATCTATCTCACAGGGTGGTAAGGATAAAATAGGGGACAAAGGAATACTATGTACACCATCTTACCTCCTTGAAGCAATGGTGAGACATAAATGTAACTAACCCATTCAACTTTCTATCTCAAACATAAAATTACATAAACCAAAGAAAAGATCTAAGTGCTCTTTAAATAATTGGCTATTTTTGTCCAAATTCTTGGTTATCCGACTGAATAGTAATTTTTAGCCAATAGTTTTAATCTAGAAAAACAAAACAAAAAGACTTATTCACATATTAAGTTTGAAAATAATTTACTTTACAGCCAAAAGCATGCAAATAACTCATTATCCTTGGCTTCCAAACTGATGCTCAGCATGCACAAACAAACCTGCTCTGAATGTGCTTTCAAGTACCAGTCCACTTCTGATCTAATGCATCAGTAAAGCTAATCTGGATTAATGCTACAATGTACATGCTCTTAATTTGATTCAGACGGTAAGCATAACTGTTGGTAAGGGAACTAGTAGTCACTTTAACCTCAAAGAACAAAAAGTGAAGTCCCCTAAATAAATAAAATAAATAAAAAATGTTGTTGTTAGTTTGGAAGTCATGTGCAACCCCATGGACAGCATTCCTCCAGGCTTTCCTGTCCTTCACCATCCCCTGGAGTCCACTTAAGCTCACATCAACTGCTTCAGTAACTCCATCTAGCCACCTCATTCTCTGCCGTCCCCTTCTTTTGCCCTCAATTGTTCCCAGCATTAGGCTCTTCTCCAGGTATACTTATAGGTATAGTTGAAGTTACAAAACAATATGCCTCAAGTCTGCAAAGTCACCATTTACATAAATATCATCATATGTCTTACTATTTTAAAAGAAATACCTGAGATGCAAGTGTAATAAATCCTTATTTCATACAAGTACCATCTCACATAATTCCCCAGGCAGCAAATACACTGGCCGATGTACCAATCAAAGACTGACCACAATAGTATCAGAGCCAATAAGCCCTAATTGTTCTCTAGTCAGTCAGTCAGCAAGTGGCATCTGTTGGCACCACTGAAAGTTTTGAACTAACTAGATCTCAGTGCACACCAGCCTAGAGCAAAATCTGGCTTCAAGGCAGCAATACTTCTACTAGACTTAAAAGATCTGACAGAGCTATTCTTTGGCCTGCTTTTCATGAGCCAAATTAGATGTGACATTAATCACATGATGGTCTTGCCTGCTCTTTTCCTTTCCTCCAGTAAGTAGCAACTGCAGGGGAGGAGTTGAACTGCAATACATCCTAGGAACACAGTGTGTGAGGAGGGGAACTTTAATACTGCTGTTACCATGGTGGTCCCAATCCAAGATTCCCTCTTGTCACTATTTGCATCAGGCCAGAAGCTGCCATTGAGTCACAGAAAGCTTTCTTTCAGTGTCAGACAGCTACTGGGGCTTGGAGGATCAAAATTGTCCATTTGGAGATGCAAAAGGAACTAGCGGGGCTAGAACCTTTTCTCTGATATGTCATGGTCTCTCTCTTTCTTTCTTTGTAATCTTGCAAAGAATTTTTGCTTTAAAGTATTCAATTATGGCATCCCCCATAAATCCCCCATGAAGGATTTTCTCACTTCATTCTATTGTAAAAGCCCAGGTATCAGAGAACACCCATTCTGGGAAATTAATAAACAGAGTATATGAAATGAAGTAATTTATAAATATAAAAAATTCTATACTTAGTTATATAAACTTTTGTTCCACTTTGTATCAAATAGGTTTGACAGCTTACCTTCAACATATGTTGGGAAAGAAGCCAAGCTTTTTCTTGACTGTAATTAAGACAAACAGGATATCAAACCAAGCTGAGCATGCTGAGGTATGCATTAAAAAGCCTTTCATGCAGAACTGGCAAAATTATTCATCACACAATGACAGTTGTTACCCAATCCCAAAGAGCAGCTTATTAAGAAATATTTATAAATGTTTCAAAGTATCAGTTAATTATTAAGACGTTATCCTGTAGTGTACTGTGCACCATTAGCATCAATAAAGTATTTCTAGTTTTGCTTCAGTAAGACTTACTTGTTTTAAAATGAAAAAAATGTTAGGAACACACCATCAGACCATGGGTTGGATCCAAGATTTGTTTTGAGTGCATGGAATGGACTCTGTTAAGAGATGGTGTCTTGGTCTGATTTATGGAGATACCCCTTTCCCCAGTACACCATAGCACACCCCATTTAGTGGGGTTCATAACCCCTTCTCCAGCATTTTCTGGAGTGGAAGAGCTGCTGTGGAAAGGAAGCAGTAGGAAAGTCAGCTTCCACCAACTCACTGTACACTTCTAAATCTGGATCCAACCCCACGTCATGAACAAAAACAGTGGCAAAGAATTCAAAGTTGTAAACTTCCAGCATTGTGCTAAGGGTCCTAGATTTAGACTTATAGCCCAATGAGGTATCTCTCTGCTGACGTTTTGATATAGTTTTAATCCATCTGAACTGGACTCAGGCTGCAACCCTAAACAAACCAAAGAATGAAATATCAGAGTGGGACTTGCTTCCCCCGAACTTGCATAGAATTGCACTGTAAATGTCTACAATTCATCATAACTTTAATTGTTATAGAAAGCTAAAAGACAGATGATTTGATTCAGAAGTGGCCAATATGAATTTAGCATTTACATCTTCAAGACCTGACTAAATAGTAACATGCTTCTAGATGGATTTAAAAAGCACATTTACCACTGCAGCTATTTTTCAATGGTCTCATATTGCTGTGGAGTTTGCAGCTGACCAGAAGTGGTGTTAAATTTCTTTCTCAGCTAGAATCAGCAATAGTTACTTTTAGTCCTAAACTGGTAGTGCTGACAAGTGAAAGATTTTATTTGCTGAAGTAAACTACTTCTATTTGAAAATATAGATGAGAACAGGATCTCTATTTACACTCAGTGGGCTACTGTATTGCAAGAATTCTGAGAATAAGTCAATCAAGTCATTGTGTTTATTTGGAACAAGTCTTTTTATTTAAAAATATTTTGATGCTATGATAAAAGGTTAATTTTAAAGAAAGGAGCTCTGACAATTCCACCGTAACTTGGAACAAGAAAGTAACTGATCCAAGGAATCAAGAATAAAATGCCAGATGGAAAAAAGAGTTATTACCAAATAGCGCAAGACGTCCTGCTGACAAGATATTTTCAGAAAATTAAGTGTTGAGGAGGAATTGTGGCATTTATTTTCACAAGAGAAATTGCTTCTGTGACCATCTGATCTATTACACAGCCTCTATTTTTTAGACTCCTACACTGATATCCTTTTCAATAATTCATCCAGTTGCTATGAGCAGATTAATGTAGTTCATGTTCTGCATCTAAGTAGGCAGAGATAATAAAGCAGAACAACAAATTGCATTTCTGAGAAAAGCTTAGCGACATAGTACACAGTCATCAATTAACTGATATAAAAGCTCTGTTACTATTATGGATATTGTTATTACTATAAAGCTTGATTCCTTCCTTTTAGAGAGAATATTTTTACAAAGGTCTATTACCCTTAGTTACAAATAGGTTTGTGTAATCTCCTGACTAACACTGCATTTAGGCATGTTGCATTACACTAAAGTAATTATATGACGGCAAAACTTTTCTGGCATAAACCAACAGGGTTTGCTGTGTGGATTCTCTTACAGAAGGGGCTGGAATCTGTGCATAAGATAGTTAATTCTTCCAGACAGACAGCTCCTACTATTCAAAAGTAAGTGTGACGCATTATATAGGTGCGTAAGTCCTTCAACTTTCTGGTCAATTATGCCAAGAGATGGGTAGGTTTCATTACTTCCCTTGAAAGCTCCTCAGGCTAAGGATTCCTCCAAGCCCAAGATCCAAACAGGTGAAGCAGAAACAATTTAGTGCTTCTGGCTAAAGGATCCTAGAGGAGTTCTTCCTCTATCACATGCAAGTCAGAGTCCCAAAGAATCAGCATTACTCTTGTCTTTAAGAGATTGCAAGCCTCACTTCTTATATGCTTTTTGAAACAATTGCCCCAACCTATCCCCCCACAACAACATATATTACTAGCAAGCAATTATTATAAAGAATGAATTTTTTGCCTATTAAAGCTTCTCAGAGTTTAGTAATGTTCATGCATTTTAGCTACACTCCTATAATTGCTCGACTTAGCTTTATGGAAAGACATTCAGAAAGAAGAACTACAAGAAGGGCAAAATCCTACTTGCACCTGTTGCAAAGCATTTTAAGAGAAAATTATATCAACCACCTGCAGCACTGATTTTAGGAAGGTTTACTTCACACTAACTATGTTGCCAAAGATGTTTATATACAATTTTCAGTCTATTAAGCATGACTCCAACTAACTATATACATTCCTAAATCAGTCCCCTTACTAAAGTCTAGGAAAGGGTAAATATTGTGGACTGTTCCCTTAACTTAAAAAGTCATAACCTTTCATTTATAAGACATGATCAGAAGACAATACACATCTAAAATGATATTTCCAGATTTATTAATATTCAGAACACAATCAAGATGTCCTAAACATCAAAGATCTATTTCCAGTGAAGCCATTAGTTTAAGAAATGGTAACACTCTACCTCCTTACTGGTTGGGGTTTCTGCTGTACCACAGACATCTTGGTGATGTTGCATACTTGATGACTCAGCACCTTGAGGTGAAGATGAATCAGGAGATGGAGACTAGACATAAAAAGGTATACAATAAAATAAAATATGAGTGAATAATATAGCATATTTCACTGGCTTTGTTTTTATTTGTCTTTCAATTCAAGGCAAACAAAAATCCAAATAAAATTTAACATACAGAATTTCACCAAATTATCTTCCAATTAATATATACTAGGAAAGAAATCCTATTAATGCTAATTCTGCTTATAATCACAATCTGCAGAGATGTAGAATTAAATAATTAGATTCTTGTTTAAGTCACTAATTTAGCTGCACATATGGATAAAACCTTGAATGAAAGATGAGCAATGTCAACAGAGCAGCACATGTCTGCTTAAAGGTAAGTCTCATCAAGTTTAATGAGACTTGCTTTCAGGTAAGTGGGTATAGGAGTGAAGTGTAATATATTAAGGTTAATAATGGGTTGGGGGGACTGGCTTGTGCAGTTTGTACCTTTCCCTGCCCATGCAATATAGAAAGATATACTTTAAAACTCGACTGTTACATATGCCATTGACCAACAACCTCAACTCAGTTCTTATTTCATTTACTATACAGAATTCAAAGTGAGTATATCTATTCAAAGGTAATGGTACAGCTCCTCTTTCTACCTCATTTCCAACTGTCTTCTCCTCCTTTTCCCCACCCCATGTCTCTCCTTATATGCTGTCCATTTGCCAAGAGACTAAACAACCTAGTGCCAAAAGATAACCAGAATAACAGACAAGTTTGGCCTTGGAGTACAAAATGAAGCAGGGCAAAGGCTCGTAGAATTTTGTCAAGAGAATACGCTGGTCATAGCAAACACTCTTTTCCAACAACCCAAGAGACAACTCTACACATGGACATCACCAGACGGTCAACACAGAAATCATATTGACTATGCACTCTGCAGCCAAAGATGGAGAAGTTCTATACAATCAGTAAAAACAAAACCAGGAGCAGACTGTGGCTCAGATAATGAGCTTCTTGTTGCAAAATTTAGGCTTAAATTGAAGAAAGTAGGGAAAAGCACTAGGCCACTCAGGTATGACCTAAATCGTATCCCTGATGAATAAACAGTAGAGGTGGCCAATATATTTAAGGAATTAGATCTGATAGACAGAGTGCCTGAAGAACTATGGATGGAGGTTCGCAACACTGTGAAAGAGGTAGCAACTAAAACCATCCCAAAGAAAAAGAAATGCAAGAAAGCAAAATGGCTGTCTGAGGAAGCTTTACAAATAGCTGTGGAAAGAAGGGAAGTGAAAGGCAAGGGAGAAAGAGAAAGATACACCTAATTGAATGCAGAATTCCAGAGAATAGCTAGAAGATATAAGAAGGCCTTCTTAAATTAACAGTGCAAAGAAATAGAAGAAAACAACAGAATAGGGAAGACTAGAGATCTCTTCAAGAAAATGGAGATATGAAGGGAACGTTTTCTGCCTAACAGAGGCAGAAGAGATTAAGAAGAGGTGGAAAAGTTACACAGAAAAACTATACAAGAAAGGGCTTAACATCCCTGATAACCACAATAGGGTGGTCAGTGACCTCGAGCCAGACATCCTGGAATGCGAAGTCAAATGGGCCTTAGGAAGTCTGAGCATCCACAAAGCTAGTGGAGGAGACAGTATTCCAGCTGAACTATTCAAAATTTTAAAAGACGATGCAGTTAAATTGCTACACTCAATATGCCAGCAAATTTGGAAAACTCAACAGTGGCCACAGGATTGGAAAAGGTCAGTTTACATTCCAGTTCCAAAGAAGGGCAATGACAAAGAACGTTCAAACTACTGCACCATTCTCTCAATTCACAAACTAGCAAAGTTATGCTCAAAATTCTACAAGCTAGGTTCCAGCATTTATGTGGACTGAGAACTACTAGAGGTACAGGCAGGGGTTCGAAGAGGCAGAGGAACTAGAGAACAAATTGCCAACATACACTGGATCATGGAGAAAGCTAGGGAGATCCAGAAAAACATCTACTTCTGCTTCATTGACTATGCTAAAGCCTTTGATTGTGTGGATCACAACCAATTGTGGCAAGTTCTTAAACAGATGGGAGTACCAGACCATATTATTTGTCTCTTGAGAAACCTATATGTGGGTCAAGAAGCAACGGTGAGAACTGGACACGGAACCACTGATTGGTTCAAAATTGAGAAAGGAGTTCAGCAAGGCTGTATACTGTTGCCCTGCCTATTTAACTTATATGCAGAGCACACCATGAGAAAGGCAGGGCTAGATGAATCACAAGTTGGAATTAAGATTGCTGGGAGAAATATCTGCAACCTCAGATATGCAGATGATACCATTCTAATGGCAGAAAGTGAAGAGGGACTAAAGAGCCTCTTGATGCGGGTGAAAGAGAAGAGCGCAAAAGTTGGCTTGAAACTCAACATCAAGAAAACTAAGATCATGGTATCCTCTCACTTCCTGGCAAATAGATGGGGAAGAAATGGAGGTAGTGACAGATTTTATTTTTTGGGGGTTCCAAGATCACCGCAGACTGGGACTGCTGTCAAGAAATTAAAAGATGCTTGCTCCTTGGGAGGAAAGCTATGGCAAATCTAGACAGCATACTAAACAGCAGAGACATCACCCTGCCAACAAAAGTGCGTATAGTCAAGGCTATGGTTTTCCCAGTTGCAATGTATGGCTGTGAAAGTTGGAAGATAAGGAAGGCTGAGCGCTGAAGAACTGAGGCCTTTGAATTGTGGTGCTGGAGAAGACTCCTGCGAGTCCCTTGGACTGCAAGATGATCAAACCAGTCAGTCCTAGAGGAGATCAACCCTGACTGCTCTTTAGAAGGCCAGATACTGAAGATGAAACTCAAATACTTTGGCCACCTAATGGGAAGGAAGGACTCACTGGAGAAGACTGTAAAGCTGGGAACAACTGACGGCAAAAGAAGAAGGGGATGGCAGAGGATGAGGTGGCTAGATGGAGTCACTGAAGCAGTAGGTGTGACGTTAAGTGGACTCAGGGGGATGATGCAGGACAGGAAGGCCTGGAGGAATGTTGTCCATGGGATTGTGATGGGTCGGACATGACTTCACAACTAGCAAGCAAGCAAACAAGCAAGCAAGCCCTCCAGATGTGTTGGACTATACCTCCCATCATTCCAGACCTGCATGAAAATGGATGTGCCGCTGAAGTACAAATAATGGGGGAGCTGACACCTTGTAGAGGTGGAAACAAGAAAACCAGACACCTACACAATTCAGCTCCAGGTTGAGGAGAAACATTACAGATATGCTTCCAAAAATGCAGGATTTGAGCACCCCCAGCACAAATACTACATATTCAGAAAAAAGAGGATAAAAGGGAAGCATATTCTCACTCAGTATCCACTGCTTGAAGCAATGGTGAACAATTCCTCCAGACTTCCTCCTGTCCAAGTCAACCTATTATCATTCTCTGTATGAAGAGGCAATGCATGAGGAGAAAATGGGCAATGCCACAGATCAAGAAGGGTAAAAGGGCTGGAGACATATCAGTTTATCCAGAGAGTCAAAAGTGCTTGAAAGATAGATTGCTGATAGCAGTTCATACATTCATAACATTTTGCCTTTACTAAAATTGATTTGTAGCTTCTTACACTGTTTATCATTTATGATTAACATTATATACCGACTTATCTGCTAAGAGGCTATTAAGGCAGTGAATTGCCATTTAATGTTTCACAGCTTGCAACATTTGTTGAAACAAGAGGTGACCAGTACGATTAAAAAATATAGGTATACATCACAAGAAGCAAACTCTTTGCCTACCATCATCACTTTCACATTTAAAAACTGTTCTTTCCTCTACAGCTCAATATTATAAAGATTATAATGGTACCACAAATGCTATATTCTTTTTAAAGATTGCACAGTTGCTTTCCAGCTATGTTGTTCATATTCCTACTGCAGTATCTTATTATTATTTGTTATAATGCAACCATATTGCAATTTTGGTATACTGAAGATGGAATACCTTCAAAAGATAGGTCAACATTCTCTAAGAATGCAATACTATGCATGTTTAGGTAGAAAAAGTCATATTGGCTGAGGCATGCTGGGACTTGCATGACTTTTTGCTGTCTAAACCTTCATAGGATTGTGCCCTAAATCACCATTTACTTTCTTGCCAGAATTCACCTACCATTTTCCCGAGATATTCAGCCTGATACATCCAAAAATTCTCCATTTTGATTTTGCTGCTATACTGCTTCAACTACAGAGTCATCTGTTAACTAGCGAATGCCAGTGAATTTTTTCCAGTGGTGCTTTGTTCCTGGGATCTGAAAGTGAAGCCTGTAACAAGAGATGATGGCTGGTGTCCTACCTATATAGATTAACCCTCTTTGTTACTAAATGGCAACATTGTAAACAGCTTCACAAAAGTCTGCCATTAGTTTATTCTTTTCATTTACTGGCCTGCAGAAGAATATTTATAGCATAATTGTAATACTATTGGTCTCTTCTAAGTAACAAAAATGCCACCATTGTATGCTGCAATATATGAAATGTTTAAAGGTCTCTCTCATATACACACAAATAATATGGGAGCCAGTATAAATAGGCACTTTTTAAAGGTCCATAAATTAAGAGCAGAGTATAATTAAATAGCAGTTTACTGCAACACTTACATTTTTGTTTTAATTTTTAAAATGCAATTATGTGGAAATTCAACTTGAAATAGATGTGGTTTTAATTATATTACTACAGTTAGGCAAACTACTTAGGAAAGAACAGAGTATGATCCACAGCACATAGTATGTTCCATGTTCTGAACTTCAAAGGAAAGGAGGACAAAATTTAGCTTAGTATCATGCTGGTTTGCTCCACATATCTGAAAACCAGCAGAATTCTAAAAACAAATTCTTTAGGACACCTTGCAAAGGAGTGAATGAGCACTGGATTCTCACTGCAGCCACATTTCTCACTGCAGTCACAGAAATGACTTCTCCCTTAATGCTGCTCAGTAATTAGTCCATACTGGTCTTCAGTACAGAAGTAATGAGAGAAAGGGTTTTGCTGTGGAGAAAAATGTGCATGGTTACAGTTTTGCTCATCAAACACAGCCTAAAGGGAGATGAAACTGACCAGGTCAAATTTCAGGCAGCTTCCTGTGCAGTCAATTCCCCTTCCCAAGGAAACTTACTAAAAGATATACTCCTGATTGGTTGGGCATTGCTGTGAAGGAGAGGCATATGGCATCAGAGCTGGTCTGATTGATAGTTTTAGCTTTTCTAGATTTTTTGGCTTTTGTACTCACATGAAGCTGTACAAAAATCTGCAAGACCAGATACTATAGTAGGGTACACAAACAAAGGAACATGCAGATGGTTTAACCCATTTTTTGAAAACTTATAAATGACACCAAGAAGCCAAAGGATAGTATTGAGCTTATGTTTCCCAAAGATCTATACCAGCCAGAAGAAAACAGCAACAGAACCATCTACAAGAACTAATGGGCCCTATTTATTCAATGAACTGTATAGCCAATGATATTCTAAAGGCTCATGATCTGTTACAAAAACAGATCTTAAAAACTGAATTCTATTGCATTTGTCAACAATCCTAAATGATAAAAGCCTCAAATAGTAAGGCTTAGTTATAATGGCATCTCTCCTTGTGACTACTCCAAAATCAGGATTAATATGTTCAGGATTGATCTTCACATGGATTTACCTTTCCACATCCTACTTAGATGTAAAACAGACCAAGTGTTTCATTGTAGCTTGGATTTTTTAAGGTGGTATTTTAGTCAGCAAAAATCTGACTATCCAAGCACTTAAGTACTTAAAAAAATTAATCTATGAATAAGTTTAGTAGTTAATACTATCAATAGAAGGCCCAGTAGAATTTCCATCTGTGTTCCAATCATTACAGTTTTAAAACATTTGCTTAAGCATTTCATCAAATTCATATTGCTCTTAGTTCTTGTGCATGCCTCTGTTGCTCTTTTCTCATGGCTACTGTCAATCTTGGATTACATAAACATAATTTTTTTATCTCACGCAGCACCTGAAACCTGCTCAATTATTCAATGCAGACTTCTCTATTCCCTTTATTAATAATAAATCAGCCCGGCTGTGGAAAAACTGATCCTCTGCAAAGCTACCATAGCAGCAGATTGAGAGCTAGGAAAACTTGTTGGCACAAAAGTAAGTTAAACATGAAATGAAAATGATCTAAATGGGGGGGGGGATATCGGTCTAAAAAATGTTATATTCCACTTAACAAAACCAGACCATACATGTTTACTAAATGCTGCAAAAACAAATCTATGCTTTCTGAGGGTTGCTAGCCAGGGACGAGCTGTCAGTAACTATTCTTCCACACCACTAAACAAGAGGTATCAGATGTACAAAACTGTTGCTTCATTAATCCCAGGGGATGGGACACACGAAGTTGGCAAGGGATGACAATAACTGAGTCAATCTAGTATTGGACAAAATGGAGGCCTCACATGCAGTATCTTCAGCAGAAAACCATGAGCTGGGCAAAATTAAAATATGTATTTAAGCAAGTAGTTTCTAAACATTTAGATACACCTACTCCATGAAATTTCATAAAGAAAAACATTGTGGAAACCTTGAATATTGCAAAATGTGCATTTTTTATGTCTCCAAGACATCATTATCACATCTGTGGATTCAGGCTTCTGGGGATCCACAACCAACATGACCCAAAGCAAACCCACCAATTCACTTTTCTAAAATAGAGCTTGGAATCCATAGCACACAACAGGGATAGACAACTTGGTCCCTATGGACACCAGTGTGCCCCAGACTCCTTTTGCGACAACGATTGAGCTGCTTTACCTACCAGTTAAAAAAAAAGAAAAGGAAAAACTGAAAAAGCACATTTATTTAGGTAGTGATCCAGAATGAGATAAAAAGAAATGAAGGTATGATCTGGCTGGCATAGCAGGGTAGGTGAAAGGAGAAAAAAGAGTTTGTTTTCCATGGAATATATTTCTGTTGATACTGAGAACTGGCTTCAAAAGGACTGTTTAGGGTATTGGGACTCAGACTCTAGCTCTCCTTTGTACTCAGACTCTGAGACACATTTGTCTCTTCTAACTAGCCCCATCTCCCTAGGAAGCCATTTTGTGGTGATGCCTGGTCAATTTTTCAAATTGCTGAATTCCACAGGCCCAAAAAGGTTGCCTACCCTAAGCCTAAATATTGCAGAAAACTGTTTTTTATTCTATTGTTGCAAAATTAAAACTATTCTATTTGGGTTTTAAAACCTTATATCCTACATATTTTACAAAGAAGGGACCTTAAAAACCCAAACAGATGATAACTTGTTAAGATATTAGTTAACCATAAGGGGGATACAGATATGCACACCCATATATTCATACCAAACAGTGATTAAAACATTTATCCAAATAGTTTCTTAAAGACTCATGTTTTATATACTGCCTAAAAACAGCACAGTATCTGGGCCTAACACATGCCTGGAGGCTCCAAACCTTGTGGTTCTCATCCCAGCTTCACAAGGCTGGAGAATTTGAAGTTGATTACCAGCGCACGTGAGCAACAGCAAATGGTTGATAGCAAGTTTTTAGAGCAGGAACAATCTGGCAACCAATTCTATTCCGTTTAACTAGGTATAACATGATCAAAATGCCTAGCTCCCACAAGCAAGCACTTGTTACATTTCACCGCCATTGAACTTTCTGAATGCTTTTCAGTCCCATGTAGAATATTATAATAGTTTAATCTGGATGTTCCTTAGGGTTGAATAGCTGTGGCAAGGCTTGTCTTTGTCTGGAAAGATAAGTCAGTTGAAGTGCTACGTCAAGGAACACCACCAAACTACAAATAAGACGTAGAGAGGTGGTGCGGCCCTATCCAAGATAGTCTGCACACCTTCGCCTGTCAGGTAGTCCACCTACCAACATTACGGCACTAGTGGCTTGTTGAGCCATTTTTTTTTACACGTATCTGGAACAAAAAATTTTCATCTCTCCTTATGGAAAAGGATTAGATGGGTTCTTGCATTTAGAATTTTGAACATTTTCCCTTTTGAGGAGACCTGTGTTGGAGAAAATGGTTTACAACTATGAAGTTTAAGGAAAACTTATGTCTATGGAGGACCGCTCCTAGATAAGATAGAAGAAGAAGAAACTAGGCCAAGGGTGAGTATTTGAGCTGCATATTGAAAGGGTCATCCTTAGATAAGTTATGAAAGCAGGGAGGAAAATTCCCAGCCACACGAAGGGAGAGGGCTATGAGAAAGCTGTCAGAGGATGAGGCAAAATAAAATAGCATTGTTTTAATGAAGCACTGCACATTTCTACGGCATTCTGCCTTACAAGCCTAATAATATACTGCCAGCTTTGAGTGCTGTACTCTTAATAAATATTGCTTTTCTTCAATCTATTTGGCCCGTTTCATGCACGATCTGACACTGGAAAGGTGTATTTTTTTAAAAGTACCAGAATTATAGAGAAAACAAGAACAGAAAAGCTCTTTTTTTCCACTTCTCTGGCAACACAGTCATATGCAAAGCCATACAGCATGACATTTCTGGTAAAAGGGTATAGGATTTGTCTGCTGAAATTATGGGAAAGTATCACTTAATGAGATTATATTCTCCACCCAATTCTCCTATCCAAGTTCCTTTAACGAAAATGAATAAGCAAAGGAATTTATATATACAAGTGTTGCATGCTACCATAAGCAACTTTGCAGGATAAAGAGACAGAGAACTCCCTCGGGATAGCAATCCTAGTGCAGTCTGGAGCATAAAGGGTGGCCAATTTCTGTCTTGAACTACACTCTAATTTACTCTATAACTTACTCCAAATTACCTTGGTAGATGAGCAGACAGAGCAATACACTGAAGCCAGACAAAATACTAGTGGTGTTTGAGATAAATAAAACCATGAAATTCTAACATTATTTATTAAGAACTTGGGAAGCAACCTGCACACAATTATGCTACTTAAATCCTATTGAAGTAAACTATGCAAGCAGTGCACAAAATTTCAGTCTTAGTTTTCTGCAGATTGAAACCCTACAGCAAATGTTTTGAGGCATCCAACAGGTACTTTGGTATACAAAACGTAAACAAAACACCTAGAAGAAAATGTTGGGCTGTTTTCTCTGCATGTCAACTGAAAGCAAGCACATCGTTTTTGAGTCAAAACTGACAAGGAATATTGCATGAAATGACATTACTTAGATAAAAGAAGGAAACAACTCTTCTACCTGACTGAAAAAGTCACATCAACAGCAATGTGATTACAGCATCACATGACACCATGCCACAGCTTAGCAAACACACTGCTTCTAACGAAAATGCTGCAAATGTACATATTCTACCTAAGTCACATGTTTAAAATATTTTTGATAGATTGTTTGTTACCAATTACAACAAAAATAATTGGGTAACCAAGGGGAAATTTGTACTGCAATAATTCTCACATCCAAAACACATTTAACCACTCAAAAAATAGTGACCCACAAGCCTCTGTAATCATTTTAAATGATGAATTTACATTCTGAATGTAACATTTTATTTTCCAAGCAGTTAAAAACCAGTAAGAAAGTACCAAATGTCAAGGTGAACATTAGCACGGAGTAGTTTTTTGAGAAATTAACACAAGTTTGTGATCAAAGTATAATTCAGCATTTGGTGTACTTACATCTCCCTCTAGTGGCCTTTGGTCCTCACCATCCCTGGTTGGGCTGATGTCTTGTCTCATCACCCAAATGGGTTCTTTGGGCTCATCAGGAGTATAAGGAGAACGTATGGTCCTTGTCTTCACTTCCTCAATAGCTTCTTTAATGTCCTTAATGGCTAGTGATATCGCATCCCTTTTCTCCTTGCTATACCTTTGCACTGTTTCTCCCACATTAACAGGGGGCCTGGAACCAACTGAAAGTTGACTGTTGCTTTTGTGACGCATATTAGCAGGTGTGTTACTAGTGTCCACATTCTGCTCTGCTTCTGGCATGTCTTCAGCAGCTTTGTCTAAGCTCTGAGAACTCATACTCTGTTTGACTTCAGCGACAATTTGGTCAATATCTTCCTCTTGTTCGTAGCTGTCCATTCTTGGATAAGGAGCAAACTCTGCCTCCTTTTCAGGACTGTCAGACTCTCCATCTGAGCGCTCATCATAATGGTGCAGTCGGGCACCCAGGGCTTCCTTACGATAGTTATCAGCCTCCTCTCTCTCTTGATCATAGAGTCTAAGACCTTCCCTGACATCAAGGTCAGGTGTGTCACCTATCTCCTCATATACATGTTCCTGAAGTCCATAGTCAGCATAGGGCTCTGCATACTGCTCATCTTCTCCTCGATGGAAGAGCCGGTGGGTGTAGACATAGCCTGAATATGCTGCATTCATGGCTTCCTCATGCTCAATGGAATGAAAGTGCAAGTGGTTGGGAAGAGTCCGGTTGTGAATAGTTTCAGCATGTTCTGCCTCAGCATTTTCAGTGTACTCCTCTGACTCAGGCCTGTACTGTACTGCATAGGCACTCTCATCCTCATTTTCTAGCACTCTGTCTGCTTCATAGCCATCTTCTGCCGTGGCTATGACATCTCCTTCAGCAGTATCTGTGTGATTATGGAAGCCACTCTCTGTGCTGGCAGACCGAGCTAATGTGCCCTCCTCTTCCTGTCTAGACTGTCCTTCATGGCTGCCATTAGCACATCTTGGATAATGAACTGCATAATGTTGTTGTTCTTCCTCTACCTCAGAATGTTCAAGGTCAGCCTCCACAGACTCATTCACCTCTCGGTTTCCTAGTTCATCACTGACCTCTCCTTCAGGTGGACCCTCAAAATGGTTCATGGCAGATTTTAGAAGATTCCTCAGTTATTCTATTGACATTTTGTTTGTTAGGGCTGTAAAGAAATAAAAAACAGTTATTGTGCAATGACAAGTCTCTATTAAAGCCTTGCAGAATTAATACAGTAATAGCAAGTTAGAGTCAGACTAAGGCACATGCAACTGGGTGGATGGAACTGGATTTCTTCCCCAGGACAGCTCCTCCAGTCCCTGGAAAATCCTACAAGGAGGTTTAGGGAACTCTCTTGCATGAAGTGAGTTCCTGCTGAGGTGTGTGTGGGGAAATCTGAGTATCTTTCATGAGTGTAACCCTTCTATCAATAGAAGCAGATGCTGGATCCAACCCATTAAATCTGGCATGAGGTGACATTTGTGCTCGCATAGAAAATTTAATTATATATTGTAAAAATCATTGATAAGAGTAGGAAACTACAATTTGATGTGCTGAAAGTCTAAATCAAGTATTACCATAAGAACAAACTGACAATACAGTAGAGAAAGTATGAGATGGGATTACTAGCTGAGTATCCAGAATGGAATAAGCACGTAGATGAAAGCATGTGGGAAATTTTGTGCAAAAAAGAGATGTATATAACAGAAGACTGGAGGAAAAAGCCAAGAAGCAGAAGAGGGTAGTTAGTGGCATAAAAATGCCAGAAAGAACTCACTAAGCTAGAACTGCAAAATCAGCCCAGAAAAACACAGCTAATAAGAAAAATGGAAAATACCATTAGACAGAAAGAATATTAAGCATAAAAGCACACAATAGATATTTTGCAGAAGTAGAAAAAAATGAAGAGGTGAAAGTCAAAAGTAAGCCCACGTAAAGACAATACCCTAAAGTAAATGGGCTATCCCTTCAATCAATAGTGCTTGCCAAAGAAGAGGAGGAGGAGGAGGGAAAAAGGTGCTTCTCAACATGCATGTTTATACCTTGAAATGATTCTAAATGAGCTATACCGATACATATTCAATGCACTTATAGCCAGAAATCTGTGAATCCAGCCCTGAATGGAGGAATAATATGCACCCACTCGCAACATCTCCTTTGGAAAGAGTTCATCAGTACTGCTTGCAAGGAGTGCAAACAGATATATTTTAGCCCTTGGCTACTGAACCAAGTACTGGCTACTATATGCCACCTTCTCTAAGTCATAGCTAGAATCTTGTACTTATTCAACCATTACAGGCAAAACAATACAGGGAGTAGTCCATCTCTTCGGTGCCAGGCTTCAAGTGTTCCCCCGGTGCATGTAAAAGCTCCTAGGGTCAAGTTAAGAGGGAAATGGTTCTCTACATACATACATGTGCATGCTCATATATATCTTCCACTAGCCTTAGAATAGGGGGGAGAATGATTCAAAAGTTTTATATATGTCTAGTTACATTTATATCCTGCTTCTTCCTACTGATGCGCCTCCTCTCCATTTTATCCTCACGGCAATCCTGTGAGATAAGTTATATTGAGGCTCCAAGTCTTCCAGAGGCCGTCATGGCCAAGTGGAGGCTACAAACCAGATTGCCAAAGTTCAACTCTCAGTGGAAGCCAAAGCATTTCTGGTCTTGCTGAAGGATGCCTGAAGTGGGCCTTAGATTCCTCTCCTATAAGAAGAACTTATGTTCTATGCCTGTGAATTAATAGGTACACTGAAAAGGCAATCATGGAAGACACAGGGGATCATGTTGTAGGCCAGAGGTTGTCTTTTGTCTTTTCATTTGGCCATCCCTAGTTTACTTAACAACCACAACCTAACTTTTATAGAGTTATGGAGAAAAAGCAATCCTGAGACAATGCCATACAAAAAGGGAGTAGAGGACAGGCTTCCTCCACTTCAATTACTTGGCATCTGACTAATTGCATTAAGTTCACCAATTCAGAACTCACAGTTTAAAAGTCTGAGCATTTAAACTGAATGTTCACAATTCTTTCTGTGCCAGGCTCCGAATGAGGTGTGCTCTTTAAAAATGACTGTCTCCTTGCCTCACCCTTTGGATTGTCCCAGTACGTTAATGTAACAGCTCAGTAACAAACCTCTGTCAACTTGGATCTAAGAAAAGGTTTGTAATTTTCATAAATGTCTCATGATATTGGTTTCCATACTTGAGTAGCCTTAAAGGGACATGGATTTTTACACTACTTCACAGCACTTCCTCCTCATTCTAAATTGCATCAAAATGGACAGCCAAGAGCAGCAGGGGGTTCACAGGATCAAAATTTACTAAGTACATTGTAAGCTCCCTCTGAGTCTCACAGTTGAAGGCAGCACAGAAATCTTTTAAATAAATAATTAGACAAAGACCATTACACTGTATTTCATGCATTTGACAGACAAGATGGTTGACTCTGCAAAACTAGGCCTCAGCTAGGCCCAGGAAAACCCCTCAGAAGAATTACTCCTGAATTCAGTACAAGACCTCAAAAATATCCATTAAATTTATCATAGAAATTTTTAAACTGTTTTATCATACTTTGCACACTGCCAGAATTTGAACAATACAGGTTAAGAATAATTTCAGCCTTACAAGGACATCCTCATATATTATTAGCTCACAAAAATGTTTACCAGTCCATATGGATCCATACTAATTATCTGAGGCCTAGAAGAAAGAACGAGCTATACTGTGTGAAGCTTCCTTATACAGACACCTGAAAACAATCCTTGTACAGCAAAGGTATGTGCCTGTTTAGAGGGCAAGAGAAGCACTGAGAATTACTGGTTTAAAGGTCTGATGCAGAGATACTTGTGATTACAGAAACAGCAAAGGTGCTTTTATGCTAAATCAAGGCTAACAAAAAGAAAAAGAAGCAGCAGCATCTTGAGTGTACAACTTAAAATATCAAAAATAACTGCTTTAAAACATCATCACCACCACCACCACCACCAACATATTCAACAACTGCATGCTCAATTTGATTCCATGCAGATGTTTTAACATTATAGATTGTGCCACTGTAAAGTTTGTGTGACTCAGAGTGCACCCTTTGTTAAATATCAATTCTGCAAAGAAGGCTTATGGAAGGATAAAAACAGGTGTTAAAATGGCTTGCCACATAATCACATTTCTTCTATTAGATAAAAGCTGCTAATAAAGAGAGAGCTCCAAAGAACAGCCCATATGCACAGCCCCACAGGAAATGATCAGGATTAAACTCCAAATAGGCTTTTTAAAAGATTGTTTCCCACCCTACTATTATCTCTCACTTTGTGGCATTTTTGCACATTTTAGCATCTTTTTGCATTCTGAGTAATGAAAACCAGAACACCATTATTCCCATTTTACAGATGTGTGAGAGCAAAAGCAACAAGCCAGTAGTGAAGGCCAGCACTTGGAAGCCAGATGACTCAAGCCCAAGATTACCTTCTGTTTCCAAAGGGCAAGAACAGAACATTAATAAGTTGACCAACTGTTGACCAATCTGAAATCAAACAATTATAGGGGCTTTAGGGGAAAAATAAAAGAGCTTTTCTGGCAGCAGCTCCATATTTTGAATATAAAAGAAGAAAGTTCCATTCTCATAAGAGAAGACTAAATTTAAGAGCACAGGCTAAGGGTACAAATCCCAGCAGAAAGAAAATCTCCTGCTGATTAAAGTGGTTTGTATTTCTGTAAATGTTCATCAGGTCCCCATGAAAAAAATATGAATAAACCAAGCTCCTCTCTCCCTTAAATACATCTGAAATTAAATGCAAATGACTCACTATAATTTTATATCCACAACACAGAAGTGAGAGGTGGCACGTGACTTTGCAAATAAAGACATACTATGCCTCAGAAGAGTGCAGCACTCTCCCATTAATTATCCACAGCAGCAGCTGTGCTCTAATGTTCTGGCACATACTCGAAGGTGCTTTCTAAGCACTCCTGGCTCTATGCTCAGACCTTGATGGATGGCTTGGCCTCCAGAAGAAAGAAAATTAACAGGTTGATTTCTGGTATTGCTGGCTGCTTGCTGAAGGTCAAGCCACTCTACTAACAATTCACAATTTGGACAGTTATTTCAACACAGTATGTCAAACAGATCCCAAAGCATTCATATTCCACTACTTATAACAACCACACCTGACATTTGATGTTCTGAGGTATGATGGGCTTTCCCTAACCCAAGCAAGTTTCAACTTTACCAATTGGCTTCAACTGGCAACAGTTAGAAAAGACTCATATTTACTCAGCCACTAGTTATTACATTTGTGCGTATGCACTATTGACTGGTACTACTTCTCAGAAGTTTTAACATTGCATGAATGCAGTACACTGGGAGGTCACAACAATTCAGCCAATGGCTGCGAAGGCTAATAGAAACAAGCAAACTTCTTTTTAAACCTGCTTTTATAAAGGTATGCATTTGTACTTGTTTTCATGAATTTGTATATTTCAAAAGTAATTTGCATGGTAATATTTTACAGAGCATGCTGTTATCGCTGAAATTCAATTTATTCTCCTGATAGTTTACAACAAACAGTCTTTAAAAGACTGAATTAGCAAACAGTGATGTTTTTTCTTGTTGCCATGCAAAAAAAACTCAAATTACTTTTCTAATGGAAACTGCACAAGCATGCAGGGATGAATAAAACGCTTGAGTGTGGATAAATATGTTTGTCAAAGTTAGCAGCTTTAATCATGTGCTAAACTCTTCCTTTGTTCCAAGAAACATTTTGCCTTGTTCCTTTTAAAAACAATTATAAAAAAAATAATATGATATTTGTAAATTTTAAAAACCTCATTAGGAATCTTACCATCTGGTTCATGGAATAATGTATTTGCAGTACATGCAGTCAACATTTTTCATGCTAGCATACATCTCATTACTAAACATCAATATTAGCTATGCTGCCAATTATTATCATCACTATTATTACACTGCATTTATATCCCAACTTTTGTCCTCTTACAAGGAACCCAAGGTGGCTTACATAGCTCCATTTTATCTTCACGACAACAACCCTATATGGTAAGTTAGGCTGAGAGTCAATGACTGGCTTTAAAGTTATCTAAGCGAGCTT